AACCAGGAGTAGTCCTTGGAACCATGACTCCTTGTGCCCCTCTGCCTCAAAGCAAGGTCCTGGGGAGGGGGCCAGCATTCAGGACTGTGTGTAGAGGAGAGGAGGCACCCAACTGCCTGCGGTGCCACAGGACGGGGTGATGCCCAGAAAAAGGCACGCAGGCCTCCAGGCAGAGTGCTGGAGAGTCGGGGGCGGGGGGCTCCCTCCAGCCTTGGAGTCAGAGCCAGCAGCCACCTCTTCCCCTTTTCCACACGTGCGTGCACACACACACATTCTCACACATGACCTTGCCATTTGCACTGCCTGGGTTCAGCACCATTCTCTCCTACTCCTGAGATTTTGCCTGAAATATGCTTTTATTTACCCAACAGATGCAGAAGGAGCCATTGCTGTGTGCCACACATGATTATAGGCACTGGGGATGCGGAGACAGATACAGATCCAGCAGACCCAAAGATGTCCCCAAATACACCCCAAAATAAATGGGAAAGCAATACAAACCGAGATGGAGCTATATAAACTGACATAGACCAAGGCATGGAGAGTGGCTGCCAGGGGGAGCAGTTAGAGCCCTTGAGTCTGAAAGGCAAATACGGGTGCTGAGGCTGGATGAGGAGGGCTGCCTGGCGACTTCTGGGGAAGAGCGCTTCATGCAGAGGGACCGGGAGCACAAAGATCCCGACAGAGGAAGAGTTTGCTTGTCTGAGGGATGAGACAAGATGGTGTAGCCAAGCACAGCCTGCATGGAAGATGGAAGATGCTGGCCACGAGGGGGTGGCACTGCTGGGGACTTGCCTTGACTCTGTGTGAGATCAGGGGCCAGGGAAGGGCTTGGAGCAGTGAAGCCCCAGAGTGTAAGCAGCAGGGACTGTAAAGGACAGGAGTGGCTTCCCTCCCATGATCACCTGGTGACCTCCTCCTCATCCTCCATAGTCAACCCACTAGTCACTTCCTTCAGGGAACCATCTCCACCTGTTCCTGGCCAGATCCCCTGGTAGGCTTCACAGCACCAGCCTCCCCCATCACACCTACATCTGCAGGACTTGCATATTTATCCCTGTGTTTGTTGGTTGATGCCATCTTCCCCTGAAGACAGGCACAAACCTGCTCACCTGAAGGCCCTGGCACCTGCACAGAGCCTGGCACAGAGCAGGTGTTCAATGAGTGTAAACAGAATGGGTAAGCAAATCTCAAGGGGCTCAGCCAAGGTTCCATTTCCTCATTGAATGGGTCCTATTTCTATTTCCACCCCTTTGTGCCCCCACACCTGTGTCTATCCCTCCCATAAAACCTTGCATGGCTCTATCCCTAGGCACCTGCAATGCACACACACAGCCAGCTGCCCCTCTGGGAGGCAGGCCACGTGGGTTGTCCTTCAGGGAACCTCCTCATAGCAAGTGGTGCTACTGTGCAAAGAACTGCCCCCCCCATTCCCACCTCACCTGCCCCCACACCTACTTAACCTCACCCAAGCTGGGCTCAGTAGAGTCTGCACCCTGAAGTCAGGTCAGGGGTCAAGTCTCCTCCTTTGTCCAGTTGGGCAGCATCACTCACAGACCTTCTGGCAGCAGTGAATCTCATCCTTTCCTGATCCCCTGAAGCACACGAACAGCGGGTAGCTGTTTGCCAAGACACAGTGACTGTATTTTACAAACCAAAGATCAACATGGATAGACTGAGGAAGAAGGAAAAAAAAAACCTCAGTTCCCATAATCCAGGCCTGATGCTGTTAAAAACCACTTAATTACTCAACATATTTTTTTTAGTTGTTGATGGACCTTTATTTTATTTATTTGTCTGTGATGCTGAGAATCAAACCCAGTGCCTCACACATGCTAGGCAACTGCACTACCACTGAGTCAAAACCCCAGCCCTAATCAACATATTATTGAAACACTGAGCTACAAGAATATTTGTTACATAGCACTTCTTACAAGAGTGTACAGTTGAAAATAATCCAAATGTCCAGCAGGCAGTATTCAGTTAATTGTATACCTGTTCAGTAGAGTAGTCTATATGCAGAATAATAATAACAACAACAACAACAGTCAACACTTACTGAACACTTAACTCTGTGCTGGAGATCACATTAAAAGCTTGACAAGCATTATCTCATTCAATTCCCCCTGTGTTGGAAGTCTATCTCACATCCCTATCTCACAGATGAGAAAATCAAGACCAAAAAAAAGTCATTTGCTCCAAGTCTCACAATCGGTAGCTAGGATTCACACCCAAGTGGTCTGAGTCCTGATGCCAACCTCTTAACCATTGTACCACATGACTTCAAGTGTTGCCATTCAGAGCTAAACTATGGAAACATCCTAGGTGCCCTTTAACAGATGAATGGATAAAGAAAATGTGTGAGAGAGATATATATATACACACACATATATATGGATATATATATGTACACATATATATATGTGTGTGTATGTATATATATAAACAGAATGGGTTTAAATGTATATATACACACATATATATATATGTGTACATATATATATCCATATACATATGTGTGTGTGTGTATATATATATATATATATATATATATATATATATCTCACATTTTCTTTATCCATATATATATATATATACACACACACACACATATGAATATTACTCAGCCTTAAAGAAGAATGAAATTGTGGCATTTGCCAGGAAATGGATGGAGCTGAAGAATATCATGCTAAGCAAAATAAGCCAATCCCAAAAAACCAAAGGCCAAATGTTTTCTCTGATATGCGGATGCTAATTCACCATAAGAGGAGGGGCTGGGGAACAATAGGGTTACTTTAGATTAGGGAGAGGGAAGTGAGGGAAGGGGAGTGGGCATGGGGCTAGGAAGGATAGTAGAAGGAATCAGACATTATTACCCTATGTACATATACAACTATATGACCTGAGGGATTCTACATCATGTACAACCAGAAGATTAAGAAATTATACTCCATCTATATATGATGTATCAAAGTGTATTTTACTGTCATATATAACTAATTAGAACAAATTAAAAAATAAAATTAAATAAAATTTTAAAAGAGAGATAGTAGAAGCAATACTAGCTACATGGAACAATGTCTATGATATATGGTAGAGATAACAAACAGGTTATTAAACAGTATGTGTAGCTTGATCCTGTCTGTGCACATGCTGGCAAAGCCAAGAGAGAAGGGTTTGCAAGACACCTCCACCAGCAGCATCTTGGTATAGATCTATGAGTGGGTGGAAGTGCTTGTGCTTTTAATGTTTGTTTGTTTTTTTTTTTTTCTGTTACAAACATGGGCAGCATTGTGTTAAGAAAAAATAATTTCAAATTTTAAAAATTAATATAAATTCCAAAGTCACTCCTTTGTACTCATATTCTGCTGAATGTAACTATTCAGCTACCATCCTGGTTTTAGGGACAGGCACAGGCTCTATGGGCTCTTCTTGCTTTTCAGGATTCAGCTTCTCCTGGGGGAAGAGACACTTCACACTACCCCCCTTAGCCAATGGCCCCCTTCCTACCCCAGAAGCCTTTCTGGGCACTGATGCCCCCAGAGAGCTGCCAGACTGACAGAACAGCACTGGGCAAGCTCTGCCTTGGGAGCCCAGCCCAGCACCCCACCGGCCTGATGCTCCTCCCCCTGTGTCTGGGGCTCTCAGGGAAGCCACCAACTGAAGGGACAACAGGCCCAAAGGCAACAGAGTGAGCCCCAGTTCTGTAGCTACTGGTCTAGTCCCCTCCTGGTCTAGTCCCCTCTTTCCTGGTTCTATGACCTTGAACAAGATTTTTCTTTCCTCTAATCCTCTTTTTGTATCTGCCAAATAAAGAAATTTAAGTATCAATTTGGAAGAATCGTAAGACTCAAATTATGTATGTATAATTATATGTATATGTTTGTATACACACACACACACACACACACACAAATGATGCCAGTATTTCCTGGCACCATGTCAGGCATCCCATTAACCACTTCTTATATGTGACATACATATGTGCTTCTCACAGCCACTCTAACAGGTACTGTGCTTAACCTATTCTTTATAGATGATGAAAAGAAGCCTTTGAGTGATACCAAAGATACCACTTCTGCTGGTAGTAGGGGACAGTAATTTCAGCTACCATGGCTGGTCTCATGCTATTACACAGTCCCACGCAAAGTCTGGAACATAGGAGGGACTTCATCCAGATGGTCATCATTGTCAGGGCTCACTACTGGGTCTCTGCCTGGCTTTGGAGAATAGTGTAACACTGAGAAGCCCCACTGGTTCCCTCCCGGGCCCAGAGAGCCACCAGACCATATACTTACCTAGGAAGCCTTCCTTTAGGAGTGTCCCAAACTCCCCCAAATCACACTCTCTTTGAGTCAGTTCAATGATCACAGGCAATGGCTTTGCTGCTGTACAACCAGTGGACAAATTCCTATCCAGAACTGGCCTTGTGCTCTGGCCACCAGAGCTGCTGGCCCAACAGGGACTGCCCACACCCTAGGGGTCAGTCCTGCTGGCACTCACATTTGGCATCTTTCCTGAAACCCTTTCAGCTTTTCCCCAAGGATCTGTGCCCTGGGCCTTGGTCTCCTGGTGGCTCAGCACAGTGGGCCTGTCTGGCCAGAGGGATCCACCGTGAATCAGAAAAGCAGCACCCTTTCTCAACCTCTCCACGGTTTGGCTTCCCCAAGGCAGAGCAGCAGCAGCACTAGGAAATGCGTGCAGACTGTGGTTTGAGTGTGCAAGTGTGTGAAGGAGAGCGTGTTGTGCGGTAGCGGATGTGAGACTGTGAGTGTGCATGTGCGCGCGTGGTTCCAAGTGTGCGCAGCTAAGATTGAGATCTATCCCTGGGCGGGCGGCGGGCGGGCTGGGAAGGTCTCCTCCCCCCACCACATTGAGAAATCTCAGTGAGTCACCGAGTGGTTCTGCATATTAATGAGCTCGCTCACTGCGAGGGCAGGAGCGGATTTAAAAGAGGCCAGGGCGGGCGGAGGGAGGCTGTGGAGAGATCCCAGAGCTGAGCGCAAAGCGCAGCGACAGACTGCCCGGGCACCCACTGACGGGCGCAGCTGGAGCAAGCCAAGCCGGGAGGAGTGCTCTGAGGCGAGAGAGCCGAGCCGGGCGGCCTCCCCAGGCCGCCACTTCAACCGGCCGGCGCCGTCCCCGCGTCCCTGCTCCCGCGCCCCTCCGGCCAGCATGAGGCTCCTGACCGCCGCGCTGCTCCTGCTGCTCCTGGCGCTCTGCGTTGCGCGCGTGGACGGTGAGTGTTGGAAAGTCCCCTTGTCTGTCCCGTCCTGGGGAACCTAAACACCAACTACTAGGCACCTGAGATCCTGAGGATCTGGATGGGCACCGAGGGCAATCGTGGGGTACGATATCCCTGGTTCAACTAAGCAGCCCCCTCTCCTGCGCTCTCTCCCGCAGGGTCCAAATGCAAATGCTCCCGGAAAGGGCCCAAGATCCGCTACAGCGACGTAAAGAAGCTGGAAATGAAGCCAAAGTACCCGCACTGCGAGGAGAAGATGGTTATGTGAGTTCTAATTCCACTCCAAGAGCGAGTCTGCCAGTGCCAGGGCATAGCCTGGGGCTGGGTCAGGCTAACAAACATATCCCTCTGCCTTTATCAATGCCTTGGCTAAGGCTTTGTAATCGCCCAACAAGTCCTTAGTACGCTGCTGAGACAGTCCTGAAAGGGGGTCACTGTCCTGTGCTCCAGAAAGTGTCTGCAAGTCCACCCTTGCTAGTATTCAAACGAAAAGCCTCGCAGTTTGCTATTGTGGCTACCAGGGAGGGTACTAGGGCCATCAAGGGTTAAAGGGCTCCTGAATGCCAACTTAGATCACTTAGGTTGAAGTCACTCAAAACCGGCTCACACCCAAACTGTTCAGCATGCGGTCTTGCCTTCCTGCCTCTGGGGAAAGGAATAACGCCAGTATTAAGTCCTAACTTTCCTCTCAGAGTCTCCAATCTGAGGACTGTCCACTGAGATGGCGAGTTTGCAGCTTGTAGGGATTTCACTGTGAGAACACCTCAGCCCTTTCCGCAGCAGCTGGACTTCTTGCAGGTCCCTGAGCCTGAGAAGTTGGGTGAAAAGTGCTCAGCTGGGGTTAATGTGCCACAAGCCCGAAGCCCTGCTTGGTGGGGATGCCGGCAATGTTTAAAACTGGGGCAGAGCAAGAGAACACCGAGTTTTGTGCTCCTCCGCTTCCCAATTAACCACTTGAGGCCAGCACCACTGCTTTCCCATCAATACCCTCTTGGCCAGGAAGGGAGCCCTTGGCAAAACAGCTCCCAAATATTTGCCATGGACCATTGGTCCCTCTTCCCCTCCCCCAGAAACAGGACACACTTTATTCTCAGTCTGGGCAAGTGCTTTCCACTTGCACCGGCTGGCCCTGCTGGCCCAGAGGCCTTCACACAGTGTATGTGAAGGCAGGGCACACCCACACCCCACAACCCCCACCACCTGGGCTACAGTCTGGCCAAGGGTAGGGGAATTTAGAAAACCACTGGCCTGAGATGACCCCAACAAAAATTAACACCCTCATCCCTGGCCCTCATCTTGCAGACCAAGTCCAGTAAAGCTGCCCGGAAATCCTTTCAGGTGGGGACCAAGGAGACAAAAGAGCTGGGGAGGAGTCACAAGCCCCAAGCCACTTCCAGCTCCAGAGTTGAACATGTCAGGTGGCATTGCAAGTTGTATCTGAGAACTCGCAGGGAATGAAAACAGGGTATGGATCTCAGTGACATCTGGAAAGGACAGAATCCTCACCAGATAGGCTTGCTCTTTCCTGGCTAAACTTCTTCAGATACAGAGAGAAACTACAATCAAGGGAGTATATGAGGTGGCTTCAGGTAGCCTTGTGAAAACCTGCAGTGACCTCATGAGATCAGTACCCAGTCATCCTCTCTTAAATCATCCAGAGCACTCAGAGGGCTAGAGGCACCTCTCCCCTCCCAGATCCTTAAGACTTTCTAGATCAGACAGGGGCCAGCTCTCTTTTGCCAAGGCAGATTTTCAGTTGCAAAGGCTAAACAAAAGGAAGTTTTCCAGCTCACCCCAAGTCACCCAGAAATCTCTGCTGAGGCTGGGGGTGGGGGCAGAGCAGTCTACTTTGCAAGTGGGAGCCCTTGTACTCAGAAGGATCCAGAAGAGTCCAGATTCTAAAAAGGTCAATTTGTGTCATATTTCCACTGAGCTCTCACCGAAACCTTCAACATTCCATAACTGCTGAGGAGAGGGATGTGGGACCCAGAATTTCTGCTAGTTGCTGGGATCACGAATTCTCCTTTCTGTACTCCACAACCAATGTTCATAACCTCAGTGTTATGATGCGGCATTTCTGCACCATGGTGGGGGTGCTGAGTGTCCTTTCCTGTTTTTTCCAACCTTCAGGATTTGGAATGCTCAGCTTGCACACTGACCTAACTGAGAAGGGGATTTTATCAGGCTTTGCCATGTCCCTTCACTCAGAGTACAAAAGCAGCTTTGTCAGCATGGAGAAAATGCACGTGTTAAATTCCTGCAGGATGACTAGGTACCAGGGGGAGGGAAACACCTAGATTTCACTCTGAAGCCTGGCCCCATGCTCAGGGTACCACATGTCTCACCAAGGGTTCCAGGAAAGGCAGGACCAAAGACTCATCCCTAGGCCTGGGTTGGGGCCCTCAAAACATTCTGCTTCCATTCTGGTGGCAAGATCCCATTCTCTCTTCCCACTATTTGGAAACCACATTCATGAAAACCCTTCTAGAACTTGGCCCTTGACACTTGACTTTGGTAACCCATGGGATCTAGCTGAGCTCCCTCCCTCTCCTCTTACTCTTTTCACTCTCACTTCCAACCACCCTTCTTTGGCTCCTCAGGAAGGAAGTGGCATCTTTACCTCTCACCTTGCACTTTGCAAGTGTCCCAGGTGGACTCTCATTGTTGAACACCATGCTTCCCCCCCACCAACCAGAAGCTTCCTCCTGGCTCCTGCCATCCCTCTGGCCAGCCCTGGCAGAGAGGGGCACAGCCCTGGGCAGCCAGCAGGCTCTCCTCCCTCGCCAGGCTGCAGCTCATACATCCCACACTGAGGCTTGTCTTTCTCCTTTTCCGTCTCATCTCCCATGACTAATTTGCCAATAACTATTAGCTGGGCACCTACCAGCCACTGTGCACATTGTATAGGTTATATCCTTTCATCATCCTAATAACTCTATGAAGTAGGTTCTATTTTCAGATTCAGTTTACAGATGGGTAAACGGGTTCAGAGAGGTTAAGATCCTATAGCCAAACGTGGGACTCCAACTCAGGTCCCTGCACCCTGTACAAAGACACCCTGCTTCTCCACTGCACAGCGAGGACTCTGCCAGGTGTTGGAACCTAGGCTGATAGAGATCTGAGGGCTTCAGGCTGTGGAGAAGCCAGGTCTTGTTTTTCTGCGTGAAACGAGATAACTGGGACTTAACACTCAAGTGTCTAAATGGGCTTCAATAAGATTTGGCTTCAGGGTGGGCAAATGCCTAGTCCTGGGACAATCTGCAGCAGGAGGAGCTGAGACTGAAGCTTTAGACAGAGATGACAGGATCATCAGGGCACGACTTAGCCCCACCATAGGGCTCCTCAAGTCCAAGAACAAAGGTCTTGGCACGCTCACCTTGCTGGCATTAACACAGTTTGGTCCCTGACCTTTGTTCCCCAAGAGAGATCTGCAAAAAACCCACTTCTGGAGGTGCACTGGGGATGAGGACACTATTCCAGGTGCCACTCAGTCCATACAGGGCCAGACCCTAAAGAGGACTCAGAGATGAGAGGATACCAAAACCTTCCAAGGAGCCTGCCAGGAAATGAACATGTGGGTGGGTTGCCTTGAGGAAGAGTGGAAGCCAAGTCACTCAGTGCCCTGATTCAGACAGACCAGGGCCACCCACAGGCCACTTCAGGGACCATTATTAAGATGCCTCAACCCTCTACCCCATCCTGTTCCATTGCAGCATCACCACCAAGAGCGTGTCCAGGTACCGGGGCCAGGAGCACTGCCTGCACCCCAAGCTGCAGAGCACCAAGCGCTTCATCAAGTGGTACAACGCCTGGAACGAGAAGCGCAGGTACACCCCCCTTCCCCTCCTGCCCACCTTCCCCTCCTGTGGCTCTCAGGATGGAAGGGGGTCCCCACACCAGGTCAGCTAGCCCGTCCAATGTGTGAAGACCCACCACAATATCCATAGCAAGCAGATGAACAGACACTGCTTACATACCCCCAGGACTGAGAAACTCATCACTTAACAAAGTAGGCTGGAAGCACCACAGGTTGATCCATTTGTGAATTAAGTCTGTCTCCTCCTGACTTTCATATTATAGTCTTAATTGCTCTTTTTATTTAAGTCTCATAAGCTGTCAAATAGCTGGGTGAGCACCTGGCATGGCTATCCTCTGTAGATCTTGTGTGGCAAAATATGACCACTTAAATAATCATATTTATTAACCATAAAATGGGGGGTACACCCATGAGATGATGAGGATAACTCCCTGCCAATAATGTGCTCTCTCCAAGGTCCCCATGCTGCCCAGACACCTGAGAAAACCGTTCACATGCAAGTGCTAAGAGGCACGTTGGGTCTGACCCTTTGAAATCACAGTCACTCGTGCCCAATGGGGCAGCAGTGATGAGATTGACCAGTGCCCTGGGCTCCCTGGGCTCTATTTCCCATACTCAGAAGGTGGCTTTCTGGCCCTGATCCTGTGGTCCTAGGTCTGACCTTGGAAGGGAAGGCCACCTCCCAGCTCCCCATACCACGTGAAGGTGATGCTGTCCTGGAGCAGGCCACTCCTCAAGCACGCAGGGCCTACTTGTGCTTTAACCTGCCTAGCATGGCCAGGGAGTACACAAGCTCTCAGGTGACTTCCCCATGAGCAGGTGCAACACCTCATCCTGCAGAAGAAGAAACCAAAACTAGGTGGGGAGGAAGTGGGACCTGCCTGGGAGCACAGGGCAAGGGCAGGACAAGAAGCCAGGCCCCCATGGAGACTGGCAGCCTCAGTGGTGCCTGCCCCACCCTTCCCATCACCTGGCTTGGCTCTGGTCCCCAGGCTCAGCCCCGTGACCAGCTCTCACAGCTGACACTCAGGCCCAAACCCTGCACCTGAGCCTTTTTTGCTTCCTCCCAAACTGCCACATCTGCAGTTGCTTGAAATAGAAAATGATGAGGGGACAAGAATGTTTTCTATATTTCTGATAGGAATGAAGGTTTCTTTCTGGTCAGGGCAAGCGACTCACATGGCAAAAACAGGGCCTTCCCTGTCCACTGTCTGTTACCCTCCAAGGCCCTGTGTGAAAATGGAGTGAAGCTAACCCCAGGCCCCATGGTAGGAGGGGGCTGAGAACATCTTGCTCAGGATGCTGGGAGACACTCAAATTATGTGGTCGCCCTATTTCTGCCGGCTCCACCTGGGCTGTGGCTTTAAAGAGGAGGAGGCCCCGTGGGCCTAAAGGCAGCCCAGCTTCTTCTGCAAACTGCATCGAAAGCTATGAAAGCCCATCCGTCACCAGGCCCTCCGCCACTTCATTACACCATTAGTTCCTTCATCTATCTCAGAGTGACGAGATGTTCTGGGAGAGGAGGGGGCATGCTGTGTCCTCTCTCCACTGCAAAGGGTTGCAAAACGTCTTACAAGGTGGAGAATGGAGATAAAGGAACTCTTTAAAGTCCTCTCACAGAGAAATAAAATGCTGAACCGGGGTGAAGGAAGAGGGTACAGGGCAGGGCCGGGCTGTGCAGCCAGGCGAGGGAGCTGAGCGCCTCTAAGACCAGAGCTTCCGGCTGCCCTGGAAAGCAGCTGCACCAAGCCTTTTACTCAAAGCATGATTAGGTGACTTTACTCAGAAATCAGGAGCAAGACAGAGGGAGCAATGGGTTGTCTGAGTGTGAAGTGCAGCCCTGGGGTAGCCATGAATCAGAACTAGAAGGAATACCTCAAGGCAGCCGGCTTGGGAGGTGAGGGGAGAGGTGGCTCATGAATACACATGGGCCTGAAACTGGCAGAGGTGAGGCAAGGCCAGCCAGAGGAGGTAACCACGAGGCACAGGCCCCTCTGTCACAGCCTCAGCCCCGCCTACCCCCTCCTCAGTCTTCAGCAAGCAGCCTCTAGAATGGGCACATTTCAAGAGGACAAACCCAAGTCTGGGGAGAGCATGTCCCTCCCCGATGCCATCTTCCCAGAATAGAGGCTTTGTACAGATGAGGACTGGATTGAGGACTGGATTGCAGCCCGCCATATTGGGAGAACCATCCGTGGTCACAGGGCACATCTTACCTATCCTGCAGTGTTCCCATATGCAAAGGGGTTCACTCCATAGGGTTCTGAGGATAGAAAGGCTGCAGAGGTGGAGGCTGATCGGAAAGGCCAAAGCCAGACTTGTGTGAGCTTCTGTGTCCCCACAATCACATTCTCCAAGGCGTCCCTCCTGCTCCTCAACCCACAGGCCTGGGGGAGGCTGGGAGCTGCCACCACCTGGTCCCCAGCCTCTTACACCTGCGTTTTCTCTTCCCAGGGTCTACGAAGAATAGGGTGACGGATCTTGGGTAGAAACACTTCCAGACCCGTTGGGAGACTTCAGCAAAGGACTTTACAGATTAAAATAAAAAAATTAAGAAAAAAATCCTCTCTTTCTCACAGGCATAAGACACAAATTATATATTGTTACGAAGCACTTTTTACCAAGGGTCAGTTTTTACATTTTATAGCTGTGTGCAAAAGGCTTCCAGATGTGAGACCCAACTCTCCTCCACGCCAGATTTCAACACAGGCAGCTTTTTACCGAAAAAAGGGGGAAACTCATGCCTTTCCTTTTTAAAAAATGCTTTTTTGTATTCGTCCATGCGTCACCACACATCTGAGCTTTATAAGCGCCCGGGAGGAACACTGAGCTCGGTGAGACATTTCATTGCAGATCTGCTCCGGTTCTAGCTGGGGAAGCTTCCGCCCAGAGGGCCTGGCGCCTCGGCACAGCTGCCACAGCTCTCCTGGGCTTGCAGCCGGTCACAGCCTCCGTGACTCTGCAGTGGCCCCTGTCACCAGGCAAGTAGGAACAGGTCTCTCTGCATCTGTGCTTAGATCCGTTTGGTGGCCAGAGCATCATGCCTCATTCCCCCCCCTGCCCAGGTTCATTTTTCCACACTCTGGGAAACATTTGTGTCCAAGATCCCAAGGTGGCAAGGCCAATGGTCTTTAAAGAAGGGGTCGGGTCTTAGCTCCCACCTGAGGGTTTCTGAAAGGTTCGCTGCTTCGATATATAAGGTTTCAGAAACATGTTAGTGAAACCCTTAGGAGAAAACTTTAAAATACACAATTACATTCACAGCCCACAGCCAGAGACATGGATTCAGTTGATCAAGGGGAAGCCACCTGAGCGTCTTTCTTTCCCTCACCCTGAGGGGACATGCAATAGAAAAGCAATATCCCTGTGACTCCCCCACGCAATGGTAGACAGTGCAGTAATCTTTTGGAAGCTAAGATGACCAGACGCCCTTTCCTTTGTACATACGCTCTGCAGAGTACCCCGCACTCCTTTGGTAGAGGTACTGGTGTGTTATATGCCATGTAAATGTCAGAAACCATTAGCATTGCATGCAGGTTTCATATTCTTTCTAAGATGAAAAGAAAAGTAATAAAGTATATTTGAAATGTACCAAAATCCTAGACTCTGACTTTTTTTCCCTATTTAATTAATCTTGGATGTCAATAAAATGCTTACCATTTCCTAAATAAACAGGGACAGATGTATAGGCAAAGAGAACTGGTGTTTCCCAAATACCTGTCGATGCTGCTGCCTCTGTGGAATGTGTGGGGCTGTCAGTTCCACTGAAAATAGGAAGCCAGGTCCCAAGGGCAGTGCTTCCCACAGGGGCAGCAGGATGATTGGGAATGGGCAGGTGGGACCAGGCAAGATGCCCTGGGATCTGGAGCCCCAAAACTCCAGTGGGGCTCAGGGAGGGGCAGAAATGCCCGGCTGAGGGGACGTGGGGCTCCGGAACCAGGCTGTTGAGGGGTGGGGGGGGAACAACTGAGAGATGCTAAGGCTCTGTTTCTGCTTCTGTAAGTGGCCATGACAATAGGGCACATGCTCAGGTATCCCCGAGGCCTGAGGAGAGAGGCATGCCAGGGGCATGGCAGCACCTGGCAAATGGAGCTATTTTAATAGTCACAGGACCGGGCCACTTTGCATTTTGCGCAAACTGCCCGCAGCCCTGTGTTTCATTCATCCTATGTCAGCTAGGCCCTGAAATGGTCCCCTCTGTCCCCCACACTAGCAGGATTGCACAAAGGGACAGGTCTCTAGACCAGGAGGCAGGAGGCAGTCCCCCACATCCCCTTCGTCTCTGAAGATGGCTTCCTGATATGCCGGCTCTGCTCAGACTTACACAGCAAATGCTCTGTCCTAGCATGTACCCAGCAGAGTAGTATCTCCAGTCCTTCTTATCAATTCTTATTTCCTCCCCAAAACTCCAAGTTACAACATATGTATTCCTGAGGAAACTGAGGACCAGAGAGGTTAAGAAACCTGCCTGAGTTCACAGAGGTTTCTTACCAGCCAACACTGTCTCCAGTGGCTGGGATAGCAGCCTTTCTGTAGGGAAGGAAGGAGCAGGTGGGCTGAGGCCATACTGGGCTGGAGACTGTGAGCTTCCTGGGCCAATTCCATCTTCCCTTAAAAGAAGGTAGACCAGATGGAGAAGTCGGAGACCAACAGACAGAACAGGATAGGAGTGACCAGCAGGATGGCACAAACCAGGGCAGGGGACAGAAGAGACCAGGCCCTCTTCCCAAAGCTCCAACAGGGCCTCATGGAGGAGGCAGGCTGTGGAAAGAACTCTGCCACCTCCCCCTGCAAAGGCCCCTTCATTTGCAGGCAAGATGGCACAGGGCACAGGCTGCTCCACGCCACCACACTATTCTGAGTGTCTAGGCTCATGCCACTCTCCTGCTCACCCTAGGCGCACTCTAAACAGGCCACAAGCTCTTCTCCACCCTCCATGGGCACTGCCCTTTTCTGCCTGTGGATCTAGTGCCAGCCCACCCTCCCCCATCATGCAGGCCCAAATGGTCCCTCCCTTTGCTGACCTCCCAAGCCCCAGACTGTCATCAATAATGGTAATGGCATCTCTTGACAGCCACTTCCTGGGCACCTCGCCCTCACAATAGCACTGTATGGCAGGTGCCCGGACAAGCTAAGCCATTAGTTTAGGTAAGTAGAGGAAAGGCTAGAATTCAAGGTCCATCTGTCAAAGAACAGGAGCAGTGATTTTGAAGTGTCTCCTTTCCTGCCAAATATCTGTGTACCTAAGGATCAAAGAGGGGCTATGCTTCTCCAGAGGTCCTGCACCCTTTCCTCCAACAGAGTACCGAGAAGAGGCCCCGAGCACCAGCACTTCATCAAACACCAGACCAAGACCCACCGGTGCCAGAACCGTGCTCGGCTCAGAGCAGAACCCCTAGTCTGATAGTCACAGAGTCATTTCTTTCCTCTGGGTTTTCCAGAGTCCTGTGAGATGTCCACCAGCACATTCCAGAAGGGAGAGTAAATCTAGTGCAGTAAAGCAAGGCCTTTCCCAGTGGGCTCTGCGGCTGTGGCTGTCACGGGCTCCCCTGGGTAAGAGGAGCACACTCTTCCACCACGGGGCAGACCAGACCCATGGGCAGCCCCAGCGGGGAGCCGCCACTTCCTCACAGGCAGACTCACACAGGGATCCAAAGCCATCCACCTCTGACCTCCCAAAGCATGTCCTGAGTGGGTACTTGTTGCTGCTTGACATCAGGACAGTCACCTCCTCGAGCTCCAGCCCCATCCCATCTGGCTGAACCCTCCCCAGATCCCCCCAACCTCGACCTCACCTCAGGACTGACTGCATAATTTCCAGAGCCTAATACAAAAGAAAAGATGCAAGGCCCTCTTTTCAAACATTATCAATCTCTGGTTAACAATCATTTTTTTGTACATTTCAAACAGCTAGAAGACGTTTCCAACACAAAGAAATAATAAATGTTTGAGGTAATAGATATGCTAATTACTTTGATTTAATCCTTGCACCTTGTATACACGTATTAAAATATCACACTGCACCACATGAATATGTACAATTATTGTGTCAATTTAAATGTTACAAAGTCATGTTCTTAGAAGCCAGATGCTTATGTTTCCTTGAAAGAAACTCCCAGAACATATTATGGCACTTAGGAGGTACAGTGGCACCCCCCTTATCTGTGGGGGATATGTTCCAAGACCCCCCAATGGATGTCTGAGCCATGGCTAGTACCAAAGCCTCCGTAGCCTCTTTTTTCCTATAATTACATACCTATGATAAAGTTGTAAATTAGGCACAGTATCAGTACACCGTTTTTTTCTTTCCTTATTAAATCTAACACTTTCACTTTTTCACTTAAAGGAAGCACTCTATGGCTTCTCATTGGCATACGTATACAAATTGCCAGCATCACTAATCATGTGCTTTGGGGCCATTATTAAGCAAAATAAGGGTTATGTAACCACAAGCACCGTGATACCATGACAGTGACACAGAAGGCCACTGACTAATGGACAGGTAGTGATTACAGTGCTGATATGCTGGACAAAGGTGTGGTTCATGTCCCAGGCATACAGAGGGAGACGCTGAAAGATCTCATCATACTACTCAGAATGGCCTACAATTTAAAATCTAGGAATCATTTATTTCTGGAATTTCCCACTTAAATATTTTCCGTTTACTATTTTTAACCACATTCTACCTTGGGTACCTCAAACCAAAAGCGAAACTACAGATAAGGGAGGACTACTATACTCAAATACAGTTGATTCATTAATTAATATTAGGGTCTTAAAGAACCCTCTGAGAACATGCTGTCTTTATTCATTCACTGAGCCCCCTGCTGAGCACCCTGGGAGAAAAGAGATTTGGCCAGGTGTGGTTCCTTGTCTTCAAGAGCAGAATTCAATCATTTCGTGGCCTAGCCACTGTGTACTTATCAAATATTTACTATGTACTATGTACCGAAGGGAGGTGGGGGGTCCCCCAGAAACCCACAGTCTACAAGGAAGGTAGAAATTGCCTGACCTTAGCACTGTACTAGAGGGACACACAGCAGACCCTGAGGGCACCCCCAAAGGGGCACTTCTCCAATGCTCAGAGGTGGAAGACCCCTGACAAAACCTCTTAGGGGGCTCATGGAAAATTGCAAGTTGTTATTAAGTAACACAACATGGGCTGCTTACACCCCTGCTGACAGTGCCCTGGGCCAAGGATGAGTGATGAGCCAGGCCACCAAAGACAGACAGCTCCAAGGTCAGAAAAATTGAGAACACTGGGGAAATTCAGGGGCAGCCCAGGAACAGCAGCCATGCCCACAGGGAACATCACAGCTCCCTCCCTCTCCCTGGTCTCCACCTCCAGGGAGTCAGCCAGCAAAGGAGTCCCCATCCCCAATTTCCCTGTCCAGGAGGAAGTCTACCAAAGCCTTTCATACTCACCCTCCCCGCCCCCAACACACACATACGAGGAAGACATCATGCTGCTTTTGGAGCTCTTAGGGGTTTTCTTCTTCACCCATTTCCAAAAAGTTGCATGGGTATTCTTGGAGGTCATCA